AAAAGGGCAGCATTTGTCCAGGAATAAAGCTCAGAAAGCAGGAAGGGACAGGAAAGAAGGACAAACTGAGATGGTAAACACAGGGTGGAAGTGGGAAGAGTGTTGTTACACTGCAGAGACTGCAATCAAAGTCACAAAGCAAAACGTGTATGAATTGTTAAATGGAAAACTAATTTGCTCTGTAAACTTTCACCAAAATACAATAAAAAGTTAAAAAAAAATCTTATCTCAGCCTTTCATTTTCCAGATTCTTTAATTCTCCTTATGTCTTACTTTTCTAACCTTCAATTATCTTTGGAAATCTTCTAAGAATGCTCATCAAGTTTTCCCTGGAATTTTTATTAATAACAAATAAAAATCTTACTTACAACAAGTTCCAAAACACCATCCCCTTCATCAGCATTTTCTATCACAGTGGCTCCAAATCCAAGCTCTTGGATGAACTCTGCTATCATCAGAGGTTGTATAACAGCAGGATTATATCTTACTTCTGCCTTGCCAGCCATCAGAGCCACAAGTACAGAATATATTCCTAGTGACATTGATAAGAACAATACATACAGATAACATTATTACTTACAAAAAGAACGATGCTGTAATTAGTTTTTAGTGTTTTTCACATAAACATGAAATGAGTAAAGTGAACCTGGAGAAATGTATTACTTAACTTGTATAGAAGTATTAAACCCAAACCAAATAAAACTATTTGAAAAGGGGGCCTTATTTTTAAAAACATTTATTATAGAAATTTTCATTTATATATATATATAAGAGAGAACAGCATAATAAACTTGATGTGCCCATCATACAGCTTCAACAATTATCAGTAAGATTTGTTTCATTTATATTCTTGCCCATTCCACTCCTGGCCTTCTATACAAATTATTTTTAAGCAAATTCAAGACATTATATAATTTCATGTGTAACTATTTAAATATTTATCTCTATAACACAAAGATTCTTCTCTTGAAAAATAACCATAATACCAATATCACACCTGGAATAAAATAATTCCTTAATATAATCAAATATCTAGGCAGTACTCACATTCTACAATTGTCTTATAATTAATCTTAAGTTTAGCAGCAAATAGAAATCCAGATCATTAATACAAAAATTTCAGAAATAGAGTTATTTCCCCAGAGGATAAGCTTACACAAATCCTTATTCATTCAGCCCTTGTGACAACAGTATGTATCATTAAGACATCTGAGGCTAGGCCTGCCTAAGTACTATACCTTTGGTCTCATTAAACATAATCATATACATCTATGGTAAACAAATCTACTATGCTTTATTGCAAAATCTGGTCAGACAGTTGTTAAAGCATTCAGCTGTTAAACAAAAGGTCACCAGTTCAAGCCCATCAGCCTCTCCACACAGGAGAAGAAAGATGATTCAGTTTGCTTACATAAAGATTTACAGCCTTAGAAGCCCTTTGGGCAGTTCTTCTCTATCATACAGGGTCACTAAGAGTCTGAATCAGCTTAATGGCAATGGGATGTTTTGGTTTATGAGTGCAAATTTGTAGGCTAAATGTTTACGTGTACACCAGGCTACACATAAACACATAAACATCTGAGAAGATCAGATGGGGGTCAGTGAACAGGAGTATACTCTAGACTAAGGATACATTCAGTGCAGGCTACACTTGCACAGACACCAGTGATACAAAATACCTGCAATCCTTACAGAAACAACAGAAGACAGACACCCAGACACTGTGGGAGAGAGATTAAACAGATGTGCCACCTCAGGACCATAGTACTGGGGGACACCAGACTCAATTGGCACAACAAAATACATAAAAGTCCTGTTCCTCATCCTACACTGGTGAGTAGTGACTGGGGTCTTAAAGGCTGTCAAGTGTTCATCTAAGATGCAGCTAATGGTCTCCTATTATCAGAAGTGAAGAAGAGTGCAAAAAAAAAAAAAAAAAGCAAGGACATTTGGAAGCCATCAACCCTAGGACACGATGGCCCTTGAGACCAGAAGAACTAGATGGTGCCCAGCTACCAATGCCAACCACTCAGGAAAGGATCAAACCTGGAGATCCTGGATAGAGCGGGAGGAAAAATGTAGAAAAATATCCAAAAATTCAATAATGACCAGAATTACTGGTCAGATGGAGTCTGGTGAGACCCCCAATACTATGACCCTGGGATACATTCTGGGCCTGGAATAAAACTCACTCCCAGGGGTTGGCTCTCAGCCCAATAGCAAACAAGATGTACATGCACCTTTGGAAATCTTCTAAGAACGCTCATCAAGTTTTCCCTGGAATTTTAATTAATAACAGAAAAATCTTACTTACAACAAGTTCCAAAATACCATCCTCTTCATCAGCATTTTCTATCCAGGGTGATGCACCCACATACTCTATGGAAATGCATTCCTTGGAGCAATCGACCACAGGGCACCAGAGGGGCAACATTCACACAGAGTAAATTCAGGACACACAGGGAGGACACACGGGGGGTGGTTACTGGGCAGGGAGGGGAGGATACTGGGTTAGGGTTGGGGATGGTAAATGGGTAGTAGAAACTAAATGTACATGTAATGTTTAATGTAAAATGAACTCTGCTCTGTAAACTTGCACCTAAAGCATTAACTAACTAAATAAATAAAGTTTAAATGAATACGGAGTTTTCAAGATGACAGACTAGGGAGTTACATTATCCCGACGCCATACAACAAAGACTAGAGAAAACAAGGGATGGAGCTACGGATAATAATCCTGGATGCCAGAACTTCAAAGGAAAGGAAAAAGAAATAGATCAAATACTGACGAGACAAAGACACTAAATGAAAGCAGTCAACAAGGAGCAGTAAACTGTCAATGGGCACAGAATGGTCATTTTAAATTACTGCAAGCAGCATTCTGGTCAGAGCAGGAACCAAGACTGCACCAGCACCCACAGCAGTTAACAGGTGACTCTAACCTTGCACAACCTCCTGCTAACCAGAGACACAGCCCTCCCCACCCTCATCCACTCAGAGGCTGGTCAAACCCCCACTGCTAGTGCTGAGACACTTTTTACTTACAATTTTTAATCCTTCTGCTTAGTTCTTCCATCTCCCCTCACATCTCCTTTTCTTTTCATTTTTCCTCTTCCTATTCCTTTGCCCTTCTTCATTATTTTTTAATTTGGATCCTGAAGAGTGGGAATCCCTATCCCACTCCAAATTGGTAAGGAGGAAGTAAAACTATTCCTATTTGCTGATGATATGATCTTGTACATACAAAACCCAAGAGACTCAGCAAGAAAAGTACTGGAACTAAGTGAGAGATTTAGCAAACTGGCAGGATACAAGATAAACATCCAAAAATCAGTTGGATTCCTCTACACCAGCAAAGAGATGGCTGAAAAAGAAATCAATACCATTTACAATAGCTACCAAAAAAT